AGGTTGCATCTGCTTCTAGTAGCTTGTTTGTGTAATACTCGTACATCATACACTGACTTTGGTCGTCAAACGTTGACTTTTGTTTTCCGACATCCTTTGGTGGGGGTGGGGAGGGGGGTTTGATAGGGTTTCTTTGCGATGGGATCGACAACAAACAAGGATTAGCAGTGAACTTTTGGTAAGAACAAATCACAAGACGTGAAGGGAGGCAAGAATGATAATTTTTAATGAGTAGAAGATATATGACAATAACCCTTTATGTGACAAATTTTCCTAGTAATCTAGATGTTAAGGAATTATGGAGAAGATGTGATCAAGATGGTGTAGTGGATGACGTTTATATTGCTCAGAAACTTTCAAAGTTGGGAAGAAAATTTATGTTTGTGAGATCCCTTAGGGTAGGAGATGTCCATCGTTTAATCTAGAATATTCGATCAATTTGGATAGGGAATTTTCATGTGCTTGCATCTGCAGCAAGATTTGGTAAGGATGAGACAAAAAGAACATTCGTGAATGGCCACAAAGAGTTTCCTAAGGCTAGTCTAGAAACAGTAAAGACCAATATGGAGAATGAACCGAATGATGAAGGTAAGAAAACTTTTGCTTCTGTGTCGAAGAATGGAAATAATCATCCACCTGAAAAGGCTTATAGGAAAATTATTCTTGATGCAAAGGATTTATTGCATGTATCAGAATGTACTTGTGTTGTATTAGGGTAAGTGTGTGATATTAATTTGATTTCAAATTTGCACATGGTATGCTATAAAGAAGGTTTTAGAGAAGTTGAGATACAGTACATGGCTGGTTTGTGGGTTTTGTTGGAATTCAAATCCCCAGAGGCATGTTTGAAATTTAAACAATATGAAGAGAACAAATATTATTTTAAAGAGTTAAAAACTTTGTTGAAGAATTTTGTATTAATGAATGGATGGTTTGGTTAGAGATTGATGGCCTTCCGTTATGTGTGTGGTCATCTCAAGCTTTTAAAAAGGTAGCTCAATGTTGGGGATGTAAACAGAAGGGTATCCGATAAGAATAGATAACTATTTAGATAAATTGTATTTATCTTGTATCTGTTGTACAACTTACAAATCCTAAAATATAGGATCTCAATTGTAATCATCTTCAATATAAATATATCATCGTTCTCCTGTAGGAGACTTTTAAGCCAAAATACTATGTCTTTTTTACTTGGTATCAGAGCGCAGGATCTCCAGATCCTTTATACCTTTCCTGTTAAATCGACCCTCCTCTGATCAGTTACCACGACTACCCCCACTCTCATAAATTCCTCAAAAATAGCCATAGCAATAACCTGCAAATTGACTCGTATGAATTTTCTACTCTGGAAGGCACAAGTAGTTCCAATCCTGCGAGGGGTCAAACTTTTTGGCTACCTTGATGGAACCATAGTCATGCCAGCAGAAAAAATCACTGTTGGTACAGGAGATGCAGCAAAAGAAGAAGACAATCCTGAGTATGAGTCCTAGGTCACTCAAGATCAAGAAATACTTGGCGGCTTACTATCCTCCATGACCGAGGAAGTGTTATCTCAACTCACTCGCTGTACAGATACGTCCAACCAACTATGGACTTCTCTACAAACTATGTTTGCTGCTCAACATAAAGGTAACTCTATTAAGATCCGTACACAACTCTCAAATACAAAGAAAGGTGACATGACAGCCTCCGAATACTATCAGAAGATGACTTCTCTTGCTGACACCATGGCCAATATTGGTCACCCGATGACTGATGAGGAAGTTATTGGCTATATTTTAGCCGGGTTAGGTCCAGGCCATGGAGACCTATTTACAGCCATCATAGTTCTAAGTAACACCCAAGAAGTCAAGCTGTCAGAATTCTACTCATATCTCATAGCTCATGAAGCCCAGACAACAGCGATGAATGGATCAACAGATTTTGTAACCTCTGCCAACTCTGTTGCAAAGCAGGAGACTAGTGACCCTCGAAAGGCTCAAGGCAATAACAGGTACAATAATTTAAACCATAGCAGTAACCAGAGAAACAATTATCGCAACAATGGCAACCGTAGTCGAGGACGTGGCAGAGAAAGACAATATAATGGAGGCCCAAGGTGTCAAGTTTGTGGCATACCAAGACACACAACTTTGAACTGCAGGAATCGGTTCAATCACGCATATCAAGCCGATGAGTATCATGGCGGGAATAGCGCCACATATGGAAGTTACACCCATGATCCAAATTGGTATCTTGACACCGGAGCAACAAATCACCTTACAAGCGAACTTGATCGTTTGTCTATTAATCCTGAACGCTACCAAGGAAAAGATCAGGTTCAAGTAGCTAATGGCACAGGTTTGCATATCTCTCATGTTGGTCATTCTAAAATTCAAAGTTTAGGTCGGCCACTTGTTCTTAAAAATATCTTGCATGTTCCTCACATTAACAAACATCTTCTGTCAGCCAATAAACTTGTTACTGATAATCATGTGTTTATTGAAATTTACCCCAATGTTTTCTTTGTTAAGGACATACACACGAAGAAAACGCTTCTAATCGGTAACAGCAAACGTGGTCTCTTCCCGGTGCCCATTCGTCATACTCCTCGCTATGTTGGATAAAGCACCAAAGTTTCGTCATCACAGTGGCATCAATGCCTTGGTCATCCTACTTCAACAATTGTCAAGTCTATCTTGAAGTCTAATAATTTAGGTTTTTCCTTTAGTAATGAGTTATTTGTTTGTGATGCATGTCAACATGCAAAGAGTCATCAACTTCCTTATAATAATTATGTTCATGTCACTTCATCACCACTTGAGCTTATTCACACTGATGTTTGGGGACCGGCTCTAGTGTCTAGAGGTGGTTTTCGATATTATATTAGTTTTTTTGGATGATTTTAGTCGTTACACTTGAATTTATTGCATTAAACAAAAATCTGATGTTGAACAAGTTTTCTATAGTTTTCAAAAACATGTTGAGCGTTTACTGAACACTAAAATACGTATCATACAATCTGATTGGGGGGGTGAATACCATAAACTTCACAAATATTTTCAACAATGTGGCATATCTCACCGAGTGTCATGTCCGCATACATCTCAACAAAACGGTATGGCTGAAAGAAAACATCGTCATATCGTTGAAACAAGCTTGGCCTTGCTTGCTCACTCATCCCTTCCTCTTCGATATTGGGATGAAGCTTTTCTCACAGCCTGTTGCCTAATAAATCGTATGCCAAGTCATACTATCCAAAACTCTACCCCTATTACACGTCTCATGAACATCATACCTGACTATACATTCTTACGCACTTTTGGGTGTGCTTGTTGGCCAAGTCTTCGTAAATATAACACACATAAGCTCTTTTTTCGATCTACCTTATGTGTTTTCTTGGGTTATAGTTCTATGCACAAAGGGTACAAGTGTCTCGATAAACGAACAGGTAGAATTTACATCTCTCGAGATGTGGTTTTTGATGAGTCTCGTTTTCCATTCACTACTTCTGTAGCGTCTATACCACCATCATCATCTCCCAGTGTGTCGTTCCCTCAAAACGAGCCAAATGTTATGAATGACCACATGAGAAAATATGATCTATCTTTGTTATTAGCCAACTCTTTTGATGCAGCTACAGTTCCTGTGATGATTAATACCAGGTCTCACCAACCAAATAACACATCTATGCTGCCTCTTCTAAGAATCTCACCGCCGGTACCCTCAAACAATGTACCTATCCACTTACCAGATGCACCGGCTTCCACTGGTACAACTACAGTAGCCGACGATACAACCCACGAAGAATCTACATCAGTGTCACCTGCTCCATCTAGTTCACTGGTACCATCTAGTCCAAATGTCCCTCCAACCAACTCATTTGTCGCTCCTTCTGGTAGAGTTACACGAAGTCAAGTCGGAAATTTTTTCCCAAAACAGTTTTCTGATGGAACAATTCTTTATAATCTGAATAGACGTGCCTTTCTTGCTAAACCTACATCACATCAGCATGCTCTTGCTGATTCTAAATGGCGTAGTGCTATGGAGGATGAATTTACCGCATTACAGAAAAATAACACCTATTCTCTAGTAGTGATGAACATATCATCATCATTCTCGTAGGGCGAGTCGAATAGAACTATAAATTTTTTTTGAATAGGTATTGAAATTGTATAAAATATAGAGAAAGAAAAGAATGGTGTAAATAAATTTGGGGAAGATTGTATGTATTTATAAGTAAAAAATATTAATTAATTTTAAAAAAAATTTGACCGTTGAACGGTTAAAATGAATTCATTGGCTGAGAATTGATGTTGCTCTACGTCTTGTCGTCCTTCATACAACGATAAGACTACCCCCATTGGGGGTTCCTAGTGAGCCGCTCGTGACAAAGAAAATATTAAAAAAATAAGAATTGGACAATCCTTGGTGAGCTAGTTCATGGTCACGGCCTCCGCCGCAACAACTTTATGTGTAAGTGTCCAACTTTATTAGAGGGAAATCAATTAATTTTATACCACAAACTGATTTTTGTTAATAAGGAAATTTTATCTTTAATAAAAAAATAAAATAAAATATACCAAAAAACTTAATTTAATTTTCTCTACAAAAAAAAAGACATATAGTTCAATAAATATAAAATAGGTTGGGCTGGGTTGCTAATGGAACTAAAAAATTAGATTGTATTGAATTGTGGAGGTGGAAATATAAATTAATTTTTTATAGAAAAATTGGGTTGGAATAACTTGGTAAAGGAATAGTCTAATGGCCTTAAAGAGCTGGGGCGGAACCCATACTGATCATTCTAAATAACAGAAATACAAATCATGAAATAGAAAAAAAAATGTTATTTGTTTAGGAAAAGGACCAACTACTAAACAAAATAACACTAGAAGAACTTTTCATGCAACGAAATACAAACTTAGATTATAATTGCCAATTTTCGTAAATTAGGGACCATTTCTGTAATTTTGTAGAATCAAAGGTGAGACAACGCATCTGTGAGGACTTGTTGGATGTGGGAATTCAAATTGGCACTGTACATGGTACCCTAAACCTCCATGACTGCAACAACGTGATGACATTCCACACACTTTCAATTTCAATGCATTGATCACCTTCAAAACCGAGACAATGGCTTCGTTAACCTGCACCAACTTCACACTGCTCACCGCAGCTGCAATTCTGCTTCAGATCGCCGGTCTCTCTCTCTTCGTCTTTGGATTCTTCCCGATTAAACCAGCTCTCTCCGGTGTCAGGTACAAATTCATTTCCAAAAGTTTCAAATTAAGAATGTTACAGTTTGATTGACTTAGCTCCGAAATAGTGGACCAGAGAGTTTCCACCCTTCCTCATGTGATTCAATCGAGGTTCAAAATTTCACAGCTCTGCATCCTGACCAGCTTAAATCATTATACCAGGTAACTTTTAACTCGACGCACCACTCAGAATGAAAAACACGGTTATTCATCTTATTTCACCACGCTTAAATCAGCTTTCGTCCGTTGTTAAGTGTTCCTTTGTATAATTTGAGATAAATTGGGCGATATACCTTAGCTGAGTAAGGGTAACTTAACTTCTTACACTTGTAAAAGACAAAATCACTTGCTTTTTCAGAAGCATTGGATGCCATTTGACATGGTGAACTTACATAATGCAGGAACTTTCTGAGATCCCACCTTCTTATGATCGACTGATTCTAATGGTATGAAGCAACACAATCTATTTTTTTGTGGAATAGAAGTAGAAGATGCATAAGAAATTCACTGTGTCAATATAATTGTGTGGTATTTAGGTTATTGATGGTCTTCCAGCAGAATTTGTTATTGGAAGGGATGATCAGCCTCCATCAAAGATCTATAAGGATGCAATGCCATATACTCAGTCTTTATTGGCTAATAAAATGGCATTGGGTTATCATGCAAAGGCTGCACCTCCAACTGTTACACTGCCACGCTTAAAGGTACTGAATTTATTTTTGTTATTAGATTATGTGATCTGATTTCCATTTCCCTCATGCATTGATGATTGATCATATACAATAGGCTATGACTACTGGCTCAATTGGAGGATTCTTGGATGTATTGTTTAATTTCAATACCCAAGCACTTTTGGAAGACAATATCATAGGTGAGTTGGCAAGATCTTATTGGGTTTATCAAATTGCCCATCTAATGACTAATTTGTTGCAGGTCAATTTTTTAGAATTGGTTGGAAAATGGTTATGCTTGGTGATGAAACATGGCTTAAGTTGTTCCCAGGTTTATTTACAAGGCATGATGGAGTTAGTAGCTTTTTTGTAAGTCTTCACAACTTGTGATTTTCTTTCTGCTCAAACATTCATTGACCATATCTTACTATCATTGTTGTTGATTTAGGTTAAAGATACTGTGCAAGTGGATAACAATGTTTCTAGGCATCTAAGTTATGAACTTTACAAGAATGACTGGAATCTTCTGGTAATATAACTTTTCTAAATACATCATCTAAGTTATGAACTTTACAAGAATAACAGTTATGTAAACTATTTATTACAGCCAGACAACTTTATATGGCATCAACACTAGAATTCTCTCCAATTTCATTTCAGATTCTTCATTATCTTGGTTTGGATCATGTTGGACATCTTGGAGGGCGTACAAGGTAATATCTTAACTTTTAATTACCCAACTCACTCTTTCTAAAAATAAAACTTCATTGTTGTTAATTATCTATTTCAGTACCTTAATGGGACCCAAACTCAAGGAAATGGATGAGGTTATAAAATTGATTCACTCGAGTATTATCCAGAATCATAAACAAACTCTCTTGGTTTGTACCTCTTTTTTCTAACATGTATCAAACTATAATCTATTTATTGACTTGAAAGTTGAATCCCATTTGTTTATATATAAAAATCTTTTTCTTGATTTCTATTTTTTATGTAGGTGGTTGTTAGTGATCATGGTATGCAGGAAAATGGTAATCATGGGGGATCTTCATACGAAGAAACAGACTCATTGGCACTTTTTATTGGTCCAAAACACAGTCATGTATCAGTATCACCCACAGATGTTGTTACTATTAATCAGGTATTTTAATTTTATTAGTCTAAAGTTCATAATTATGTTTGCCTTATAAATTATAATTTAACTTTTTAAAATTTTGGTTTAGGTTGATATTGCTCCAACATTGTCTCTCCTTTTTGGTGTACCTATTCCCAAAAACAATGCTGGCTATCTAATTACTGATCTATTTCATCCATTACAAGGTGTGATGACTATTTTCCTTCACAAGGGTAATATTGTAATATTGTAAAATGTATGTTGTTGATTCTTCTCTGACAATTTCAGATCATGAGCTACTAAGAGCAATGGAACTGAATTCATTACAGTTGTTGAAATTACTTGAAGCTCAAACAACTCATTCCACTTGTAAAAGCTTATATCTAGATGCTATTTCTCTCCATAAATCTTGGAAGATGAAAAATGATTTAAGGTAAAGTTATAAATCTTATAAATATTTATATTTCATGATTTCATGATAATAACTCTGAACAGAGTTTTTTATAGGTCTGCTACCAATGATGAGTTTACAAACACTGTATTTGCATACAATGAGTTTCTAAAAACAGCAAGCCAACAATTATCACACACAGCAACTGATGTAAGCATTTCATTACTCCATTTATAAATATATTCTTTCTTTTTCATTTGATTAATTTTTTTACACAATGCAGAAACCCATGGGCCTACTTGCCATAGGTGTTACAACAATGCTTCTATCATGTATCATCTTCTTATTCCTCCTTTTCAAATTGATCCAAGAAACTTATCAGAATCTAAAAATCCAATTATCCGAAGCTTTTATAGCAATTATTATCATAATTCTTGTTTTAAGCATGGGATCAAGCTCTTTAGTTGAAGAAGAACAATACCTATGGCATTTCATGACCTCATCTTTCTTTCTCATATCACTTCACAAAACATTCAAATCCAAATCCATGAATAAAATCAAAACCCCAATTTTAATTTCAATAATTATAATTTCCGGAAGGGTTTTGCGAGGGTGGCATCAAGGTGGTGTAAATTGGACTCATCTTCCCGATATTTCAAAATCACTCGAGAATTCCTCAAGCTTTTACATAAAACTTCTTCAAATCCTCTCGGTTTTTGTTATACTCATCTTATGTTTTTGCACTCTCTCTTCCTTAAAGAGTTATGTTGTTATATCGATTATGGGAAGCTATTTTTGTGTTGGATTGTTGGTTTTGAATTATGTGATGAAGTATCAGGGTGATGGAGATAATGATAATGATGGGATTTTAGCAGCTCAAATGATATATGGTTTGATTGTTGGATTGACAAGTGTCATGGTTGTTGGATCACCGTGGATTATATCTTTTTATTTAAAAGATTTGGTTTTAAAGATTAAAGATTGTTTGTACCTTAGTGGGATAGCGTATGTATTTGGGTGGTGTTTTTTGCAACTTTTGTTGCAAAAGCCAGTGAACTCCATGCCTATTTCATTGCTTCTTGTGCAAATTCTTGCTACCATTTTTTGTGGTTCAGATCGTGGTTCGGATTTTAAACAGTGGGTTGAGGTCGGTTTTCAAATTTCTATTTTTGCACTTAAAGTATTTTTGATTGTGATAAAAATGAAAATATATGCTTTTTAATTCCAGATTGGTGCTATATATTATTTGGGAATGGCGGGTCATTTTAGTCTTGGAAACACCAATACTTTAGCTACCATTGATGTTGCTGGAGCTTTCATTGTATGTTTATTATCTTCTTTTAAGCAAAATTTTAGTCATATATGTTTTCTTTAATCAATCATTTATATATATCTAGGGAATCTCTACTCATTCGACAGTGCTTAGTGGATTGATAATGTTTGTGATAACATATGCATCTCCAATGTTATCTCTTCTTAGCATGGTGATGTTGATTTCCATGAAAGACATAAACCCTAATTTGAAGAATATGGGACAACTTCTTAAGACAATTCTTGGGTTTCCTTGTCTGGTTCCACTGGGGTTGAATTCTGTGCTTTTGGTTGCATACACCATCATACTGCTTTTAATGAGGAATCATTTATTTATATGGACCGTGTTTTCACCAAAGTAAGTTCTTTTTGTGATTCCCCCATTAGTGTTTTTAATCATCATATATAATTTAAGGAATTTGATTATGTTACATTTTGTGGCAGGTATATATACGTGGTAGTGACAACTGTTTGTGTTCTTGTTGGGGTGCTTATTGTTGCTTCAACAGTGACTTATATTGTTTCTGTGGTTTTCCTGTTGAGACATCGATTTTATAAGCATTCAACATCATAACTTTATGGAAGGAGGGAGGATGATAGTTGACTTGGGTTTTTTTTTTGGTCTGGCTTTCTTAATACCCTTTTGGCATCTGAGTATTAGTAGAAAATTGATTAGTGTTTTGTAGAATTTTACTTGGTCTAGGATTTGTACTACTAGTAGAAAATTGATTAGTGTTTTGTAGAATTTTACTTGGTCTAGGATTTGTACTACGCTTGCTAATCTTATATACAAACAAAAAACTTTGAATTTCTTGGAGAATATTGTACACAATGCATTTTTCAACAATTTCAGTCCCATATTTGTTTTGAACAAATTTATATGGTTAGTGTAATCGAATGAATTATGTGTATGGTATATGTATCCATGTGTGTGTCTAATGTATATGAATGCTGTGTATGTGTGTAAGTGTATTATCTGTATTTGATATGTTTGTAGACTAAAGCACATGAATTTTTATATAACGTTTATTCAGTGATACCATATAGTTGTGGTATATAAGATCAAAGTTGAATATTCTCCCAAGTCTTGTTTGATTTATGTAACATGAATGAATTTCAAGAGGAGGCTAGAAGCACAAAAGAGAAACATGATGAAGCTAAAACACCAAAGCTAAGTCCCATGACTAAATAAAGCTTCTTAGTTTGTGCTAGTTTGGCCTTGATCCTCTTCCTCACTTGCCTCATTACCTTGTTCTCATCCTTCATCACTTGCCACTCTTCTTTCATAATCACATTCTCCCTCCTTAACTATATATATATATATATATATATATATATATATATATATATATACATGATCAACAAACAAAAAAAATCTTCTTAAACTCAACCGTTTAATTTGTTTGCTAATTGTTATACTATTATATGATATTTTTTTTATATAACTAAAAGTCCAATAATATAAATTTTCAAAACATATATAATTTGGCGTGTTACCTCAAGAATAGTGTTGACAAGCTTCTGTGTTGCTTCCTTCCATGAGGCTATTGTTTGGGAAGTGATAACAGATTCATCATCAGTTATCATTGAACCAGAAGTAGTGGGATCAGATAGAAGAAGTCCCTCCATCACAAACTCCTCTCCTATCAAATTCACTGTCTCAGCATCCAACTTCTCTCTTAACTGCACAAACCCCCACATAGATGAAGAAGATGAGGGCAAATTTGTCATTTTACATGGATAAATCTGTCAACCTTTTTTAAGATTCTCTCAGCTATTTGCTGCTTCACATCGTTCAGAGCAGATATCTCCTGCTGCTTCCTGTCAATGTCTTCCTTGCTGTTGCTACTCATCACCCGTGATGATGATGCCTTTATATGCTTTGCTCTGATAAAAAATAATAATAATAATAATAATAAACTCTAAGCAACCAATTTATTCTCATCGTATAAAAATACTTTTCAGGGACCACATCTGTAAAAATCAGCAAACCACAGGGACGAAAATGGTAATTTACCATGTATATTGATTATTTATTGTTTTTATTATTACTATTATTGCTTTTGGTTTAATTTTTTTAACGTTTATTTTTGTTATTTAATGCAAAATATATAAATGCATACAAAAACAATAAATCAAAGTACTGTATCGCTTATATGCAGCACAAAGGTTTTATATAAGATATTATAACCAATTTGAAGTTAAATATTTTTAGTTTTAAATTTTTTGGTGAATTACTTATAATGCAACAACAACTATTCACATTATTTTCCCAATTTATACAACAATTTTGTTATTCAAGATCACAGTTAATTACCTTGCTCCAAACCTTAGAGTGGATACACTCTCTGATGAATTAGATAGACTCGGTGAGCAACAGCAAAGCAATGCAGTCTGGGAGCTTCCTCCCTGGATGTATGAAAAAAAAAGCTTAAATGCAAGAAATAGCAACCTACTTTCATTACTTTTTTACTATAGCATCTTACTTTCATCTCTTCCTATTACAACATTATACTTTGGTAGATTGTTCAAAGTACAATGTCCTAATAAAAAAAAACATGAATGTACAAATGCTGTAATAGAAAGAAATGAAAAGATGATATCCATAAGATTGTACTAACAAGAGCATCTTGTAGGAGGCGAGTGAGCTTGGAATCACGAAAAGGGATGTGTAATGATTTGGCATGTGGACTAGAAGTCAAAGCACTGATCACATTTCCAAGTGCAGAAAGTGATTTGTTAATGGTTTTGGCTTCTTCTAGAACTTTCCCTTCAGCACCTGTCTTCTCAACCTTCTCAGATCCTGCCAAATCCACAAGAACAACCTTTCCACTGCTCACCCTGTTCAGTTAATAATTTCAGAAATGTAAATATGATTTCAGTGAACTGTAAATTCTCAAAGAAATTATAAGACCTTTTCTCATTTGTTACTTCTTTCTGAATAGTAAACATGTAGATGCAATGACTTCTACTACTTCCAGCATTCATTTCTACATGAGTTCACAAGTCAATCAAACAACTTTCACAAGAGAGAGAGAGAGAGAGAGAGAGAGAGAGGAATACGAGTCTCTCCAACAGCTCTGTTAGCTATCCCTCCCTGCATTAGTCATTACCAAGGTTAAGAAGTAAAAGATAACTGAATATTTAATTTTTTAAAAGAGTTTTTTAACTAGAAAATTTATAGTAAAATTCTGATCTTACACATAAGACTTTTAATGCTTCTTCTCCATCTAGTATAGGGATCTGTAGAAGGGTAGTTTCATCATCTTTTAAGCTGATAGGGAAATGCAATTGATTGGAAGATTCCATATGAAAGATATTGAAACTTACTTCTGTTACTCCAGACAACACTATCCCATGTGATTTATGCTCTTTAATCTGTATGTTGTCCTTGGATAAATCAAAAAGGTCCCTGCCAGAAACACTCCCAATTGCAATTATAAAACAGAGTTGAAGAGTAGAGATGAAAGACACAAAAGATAAGATCAGTTGCTAACCTAACTTTCTCCATATAAATTTCCACCTGCGTGTATAATACAATAATTAAATTGCATCTAGAAAAGGACTCTTGAAAACAATGTCTCGGATTCTAGTTCAAATGGAATAATGAAAAGAGGTTTCTTATAAGTTATACCATTGAAAGCTTGATCTTGTAAGCAGTTGCTTCACCACAAAAAATTATAGCATCAAAGAGTTCATCCACCACTCTTGGTAGCAGCCCCTTCTTAAGGTTGTCAGCTTCCAAAATGTTGGCTCCCTGGTCAAAAAAAGTCAAATATGGACTTTATTTAAAACAAGTGTTATGGAGACATTGTATTTTACAGTAATGCACATCACCTCCATAGTAAAAGTCTTCCCTGCTCCTGTCTGTTAAAGTGCATAAGAGAATTCATTAATATCATATTAAAGGTGAGGGATCTCTTTCAAAGCTATTTGAACAATAGAGATAGCTAATGAAAAGCATATAACAAGCGAAAAGGCTTCATTGCAGTTCTTATTTGGCTTAATTAACAGTGACACAATCACAGAACAGATTACTGGAGTTGATTGAATAGGCAATAGCAATAACCAGATTACAGTATACAAATATCATAAAGTTCAGATAATTAACTAAACTAGGTATTTCGATTTGTCATTCATCTCTTGAAACGAAAATCAACTGAACATAATTAGCTCATAAGAATTAGATGCGATACATACCTGTCCATATGTGATGATTGTGCCATTAATTGAATTAACAGCATCTGTTGCATACAAATGAACATTCAGACCAAAAGTAAATATGCATACGTTACTTCAACAGACTCAAATGATAAGTTACATTCCACCATATCTTCTATGTATACGTGTGTGTGTATACACAGATCCTAAAACTCATGTATTGAGTGATCTAAACGTAACACGAAGGTTTAGCTCCGATTTACCCAAATTATGATGTTTACCATAAACTTAGAGAAGAGCTCAACAAAATATCATAAAATTAGGTAAAATAGTCTAGTAAAACAGACAAATTAGCACACGATACCTCTAACGATAGGACGAGCCAAAAATTCGTAGACGTCAGCTTGTTCAGAATCTTCATAGAACACCTTATCAAAGCTGAACATATATTGTTCATCTTTCTCGTCCTGACAAAAGCAATGAACATTACTTAGAAGGAATAATAGTGTATTGAGTTGCAGTTTACATTATCGCGGAGGAGGATTATAGCAAAGAAGATCTTCAGCAACCTTGATAGAAAAACTCTGAGAATCGGAGCGTGTAATGCATATAGCTTCTCCATCCTCTCTTGAATTTAGAGGCCTGAATCTCGCGCATACGCAAATGCTTGCCATGATTGAGCGTGTGTTGCTGTTGGAGAGACGATATAACTGCCTTCTGCTACTCTAGTCTCAATTTATAAAATTTCAATTTCATCACCACCACCTCTACTACTTCCCGCGTTCCGTTACAACATATCCGGAGTTTTGTGGGTCGGATCGGATCGGGTCAAGGTTAGGCACGTAAAATTCTTAGTTCTAGACCTCTAGTAGTGTTTAATATTAGTTAAATAATATAATATTTTATATTTAAAGTTAAAATGTAATTACTGGACAATATTTTTGCCATGAAACTAGTATTATCCGTTTGTTTAAGTTTTAATCATTTTTATAATCCCATCATCATTTTGAATAAGATAACAAAGTAAAAATCAAAAACTTGTCCCATCGACTTCTTGAATAAGATGAACAAAATAAAAAGACAAAAATGTTAAAAAAGAGAACTAAAGTTAAATCAAGAACATAACACGAACCTATATAAAAGTCCAAAATATTCGGAGGACTCTACCAAACAAAAATATGTAATTGTCAGCAAAATTGTTTACTTTTTTTTAATCCAAGAAGTTTTTCTTACTTTATACACAATACATAGGTCATCGATTCAGTATTGGCTAAAAAGGGGGATAAAATCCCCAATTAAGTAGTTCAAATCATTTTATCGATATGAGTGTTCTATATTGATAAAATCTTTATTTTGAAACCATCTCTATATTAACATTAACATAGTGGTCGAAAGAGTACCATGCTGCGTCTGAACTTCAAACAGTTTAGCTTTAACCATGTGAACGGTCCCACATTATTGGTTGATAGAGAATCAAAGTGGATTTTCCAATAAATTACGAAATGTTATAGCTCTTACATATGATTTCTGAATTTATTCAGAAGTAATTCGCGAGATCATGCACCCTTCTTTATTAGGTATAACTTTCCTAGTTATAACAGAAAAAGTACATCTGGTTAGATCCAGCCTATTCTTGAAATAAACAACTAAAATTAAATAAAAAGCTTGGAGTTTCAAGTTTTTGGGTTATTATTATTTAGGTTAAATATGTATTCATTCTACAATGTTTTTTTATATGTTTAATAGATATCAAAGTCAAATAAAATATGTAACCATATTTCACTTTTAGTCTACATTAGGCTATCCGGAGTGGATGCCTCTTCACGCGTGAAAAGCTGAGGTGGAGGGGCCAAGGACGCGTGAACACCGCCCCAAGCCCCGGTGGTTTGGCTGTGGCGTCTTTGTGAAGACGGATGATCTCATTGGCTACCCCTCACATTTTCTCTTTCTCTCTCCTTTTTGCCTCTTCACACCCTAACCACTAGTGAATACCATTTCCACAATCCACAACCTAGTGGATTGGTTGTGGAATGGGTAAATAATGACATGGCATCTTCTCCACACTTAAATCACTCATGACCACTCCAGGCAGCCTTATAACTCGATATTGGTTAACTCGTGAGAATGCGAAAACAAATATTAGTGCATTTTGATGATGCTTATGTTAGGTATTATTCAACATATGGAAATGTAGACAAGCTAGCTGGAGAGATAAAAAGAAAGGGGTTGCATCTGTTGAAGGGTTGAACCCAAATTATGGCAGGTAGCTAATCAAATAAATATATTTCCTCATTTAACTTTTTATCTTAAAAACATTGGTTAATCAAAGCTTTCCATTTCTTATTTTTGTTTTAGGTGCCTAAGATTATGAAGCTCTTGGGAAAATGATTGCACCTCTTAAAAGCAACATACCAATCATAACACCAAAAGAACTCCCTGAAGTAGATGGATTTATTTTCAGATTCCCATCAAGATTTGGAATGATGGCTGCTCAATTTAAAAGCACTTCTTGATTCTACTGGTGGTCTTTGGAGAACACAAAAACTTGTTAGGGAAGTCTGCTGGTATCTTTTATAGTAATGTGTGTCAAGAGGGTGGCCAAGAAACTACTTTATAATTACCTATTTATCCTTTAAATTTTTTAGAGTATATTACATTTTTGGTCCAGATGATAAATTGAGTTGTATGCAACATCAAAAGACAGGTTGAGACACGAGTTTGATGGTGCTCATTAGGGATGTAAACCGATTCGGAATCGGCCCGAACCGAACGGGAACTGAAAGAAGTAAAAACCAATTAAAGAGTAAACGGGGAACCAAGAACCGGGCCGAATACCATTAATCGGTTCCAACCGATATTGATTCTGGTTTGTTTTTCGGTTAAAAAGCTCATCCCTAGTGTTCATTATGAGATTAAAGCAACCGACCCTACATAATAGAGTTTGATGTGCTCAAGGAACGCATATACTGATCGATTAGCTTTCTTCAACTTGTGTTTCAAATAAATGACATCTATCCGAAAATAACGCAAAACAATCAATCTTTAATCTTATTTTATTTTATCAGGAAAAAAATTACCCTGATAAAAATTCTTAAGGCTGTCTATATATAGAGGAGGGTTGACTTGAAATTTAAAAAAAATAAAGATTTTGAGATTTTTTGATTCTTATATAATTATAATTATTCCATAATCATCTATAAACAAATAAATAACCAATGTTCATAAAAACATCAAACCATATAAATAAATAAATGTTATAATTTATCCCCAAATTTTACTATAATCACAATTTCATTAATTATCTTATACTGATCTTATTATAGTAACTAGACGCATTCCCGCGCGTTGCGCGGCGTAGGTTAAAAATATATTGTTAGAATATAGTTTTCAGACACCTTTTAGTTAATTCGATTCATCAATTTAGGTTATTTTATTATTATTATATTTAATGTTTTCCTTTTAACTATGTTAAAATATATATATTGAATTTTTTTTAAACATTATTTGATATTTTACTTTAGGTTTTAAATTTTACACTAAATTTTTAAGCTTATTTGATATATTAATGTATGTTATTTATTTAACTATATATTGAAGTTAACAAATTAAGTATATCATATTGATAAGTCCCAAATTCTTCCATTTATGATAATGTTTACAAATAAAAGCATATTTAAGTTAATAAATTAAACATATTGTATGGAAATATGAAAAGTTGGGAGTTTCAAATGAATGTGGTGAAAGAAAAAAATGTTTCCTTTATAATATAGTATGATATGATGATTATTGTTTTAATTTTTAAGTCATTGTGATATATACAATTATTTGATAATTTTATAAACCGTTTAAAATTGTGTAAATTATATATCAAACGTATGATAATCTATATATAACGGGTAACAAAATGTATGAACAAAAATATGAACTACAACTTTTAGTAACATAAAAATACAAAAACATCTATTGTAACATTTGTATTTAAAAAAGATATATATACAATGAATAATAAAAAATATGAAAAATAAACACTACAACTTTTAATAACATAAAAACACTAAAACATTTATTATAACATTTATATTAACTTTTCATATTTAAATCCCAAATCTCTTCAAATACATTAATGTTTTTAATGAACAAAACTTTACAACCTTATAAAAGAAAATAAAATAAAAAGTTATTAGTGATTACTAATTAATAATCATAAGTTAAAAACTTTTGAGTTGTAACTAATAAATATACATAAATTAGAAAACTCTTGAGTTGTAGTGTGAGTTTCAAATGAATACGGTACTTCGAAATGTGTATTTATTATTATTATTATTATTATTATTATTATTATTATTATTATTATAATATTCATCTAAATAATTGGTTTTGATGTATCATTTTAATCCGTTCAATTATTAAACATATAGATATTTAATTATAAATTTATAACATACATAGGTGCATATATATGTTAAACAAATCACATATAATATATATTTTCGTAAATGTCATATGTAATTCTTGTCGTAGTAATATGGATAAATTACTTTTATATGAAGAACATATCATGATAAGTCATCATAGTTACATATCAAATGTTAAAAATTATGTTATCTTTTAAATATTGTCTTGTAAATATGTTGTGTAGGATAACCCAACAAAAAAATAAAAGAAAATAAACATAATCAAAATAGAAAAACTACAATCAAATAAATAAAAAATATTGGGTGGTTGAATGTATAAATAAAAATGTTACATAAATATACGTTTAAATCAAAAGAAAAAAACTAACATTCGTTTACTTTGCTCAAAAAAAAAAAAACCTATATCCGTTTTCTGAATCTTCTTTCTTTATTTAACACCATTCAACCATAGAAACTTGATGACAACTCTTCACTAACCTGCAATCAAAATGTTTTTCTTAAAAAATAAGAATGAGAAAGATATTCCAAGCAAAACATTGATGTTTGGAGAGTCACGTTCAAGATTGAGTAATACATACAAATCACATATAAAGATCAAATGAGAAATTGAATATAAAGAAAAAATAGAAAAGCTTCATTTGTTTTGGTTGAAAGAAAAAATCATATTACAATTACCATCGATGCGAGATAAGCCATTTCTTCAAATCGTCATATTTGGATCGTGAATGCTTAAACTATATGAAAACTTTTGAATCATAATATCTTCAACCAAATGATGACTTTTTGTAAGAAAAATGTACCAACATAACTACATATATAATGAAGGTGAAAAGGTGTGGGGGGTTTCAAATGCATGAGGTGTTGAACTTATAGAGTGTGTGATTTTCTTGGAATGGGATTATGTGTGATTAATTACTTATATAGAACACCATTTTTTAGTGGAAAGTAGGGGTAATAGTACTATATTTGATATTAGATTCTTTAGTTGCACTTTTTCTTCTCGAAACCAAACCTTCCATTTTCCAAATCATACTCCACGTATATATCCTGTTGTTGGTAATTTCCTATGATTATCGATGGCCCGATGCTCACATTCAAGCCGCTTGGAAAGATCATCATACACGCCACCCCGGGCTCCACCTGGGAGAAGTAATCGGCCATGGGCAGTGACAATTTCGCACCACCTTTAAAATGAAACATTAGCTCTGGAAACACCGGTGGTTTGCCTCCTATGGCGGCGTAACACAGACGGAACCCCTCTGGTGACTCCGCATAAGTAGCTCTATTACAATTGCCTTTGGACATTTGAATTACAAACTCTTGTTCGACCAGATCGTAGATGGGATTATCCATCGTTGTGAATGTTGACCCAGAATCAATGATGGTTACGCTGTTACCATCAGCTCCGCCCACCAAAACACGATGCGGGATCTTAACTCGATTACCACCAACACTGATTTTCCGGAGGTTTAAATAGTAGTATTCTTCAAATTGCTCAAATCCTTGCAACTCCGGGTTGTTGCGGAACTTGGTGTAGCTGATGATGCCTCCATCTCCGGTGCCGGAATTTGATGAATCCCGATAGAGAAGAAGCTCGCTGCTCACAGTCTTATTGTCATCAAACTGGTGAGAAACCAAACAATATGAGCATTTTTTGAGACCAATCTGAACTGGTAAAGATTAGAATCCACACCCAAACCCGACAATACCCTCTGGTACTCCTGAAGATAAAATGGAGCATCCGACAGCGACATCAACCACATCTCCCTCAGGGAAACGCAGCGTCTCCGACAACAGTAATCCGGATGTGTTCCCGGCGCCATACATTTGCTCGTAAAAACAAATCTGGTTGGCGTTACATTGAGTTGGATCATGTGGCCCAATAACCCACCTGCATTTCACTTCATTACACAGGAGCTTCTTAGAAGTGGAAGAAAGTTCAGGCATGAATACATGGGGTTTGTTGGTGATTTTAGTGTCACCATGTCATTTTAAGTAATTGGAACTAACATGTGAGCTAGGGGGCTTCATAATTTGTATTCTATTATATATACGGGGTTGTGTGTGACATCCACTTTTTTTCATGGCCAGAAAAAACCGATTTGTTTATGCTTTGTTTTATAAATCAGAGTAATCTTTTAAAGAAAACGGTTGCGGAATTTGTTCCCAAACAAGATATGATAAAACTTTATCAAAACATTTCTCAAAGAGAATGTACTTTTCATTAAATAATAAAATCTCGGGATGTCATGTTCCGATACAGACCAAAAGCATAAACATATCAAAATAGACCTTACAACAGTTATTTATAACTACTGGCCTATAATCCATTATCTCTCATCATGTCAACCAACTTATGCTCTTGAGCCACTTCCTGTAATACAAAGAAAACTGAGTGGGTCAGGCTTGAGAGCCTGGTGAGCATATAGGGTTTTCAACCCACAATAATACAATTATTATATTCAATCATCAAACAATCAACCCAATTACCCATCCCCATTATCTTCTTTATTTCTTAAGGGTTTACCCTAAGAATCAAATATCCTTTATTCATTCATTCCTAAGGATTGACCTAAGGAATTTGCACAAAATCCATTGCTACATAAGGCGCATCTGCCAACTTTATCCTTTAAGCGCCTGTGTCAGGATTACGACATTCACTATTAGGCGCCACTGCCTGGATTACGACATACACTATTAGGTGTCACTGCCTGGATTACGACATACACTATTAGGCGCATCTGCCGACATTATCCTTTAAGCGCATCTGCCAGGATTACGACATTCACTATTAGGCGCCACTGCCTGGATTACGACATACACTATTAGGCGCCACTGCCTGGATTACGACATACACTATTAGGCACATCTGCCGACATTATCCTTTAAGCGCATCTGCCTGGATTACGACATTCACTATTTGGTGCATCTGCCAATTTTATTCTTAGGCACATCTGCTAGTATTTTGAGATTCTCTATTTGGTGCATCTGCCAATATTATTCTTAATTATCTTTCATACCTCATCATTTATCTACCCATGTTTTACCCAACATATTCGTAGATATAAAATGCATATACAGTTTAACTTATTTAAAACCTATATAAAACATTCATACTACACCCATCTCAAATAAACAAACAATATATAAACACATAGCACGTATTTCATAGTAAATACTTCATATTTATGTGTTAGAAGAAAGTAACTATACACTCACCTGATAAGACGATGATCGAACAACACCTCGTCTATTAAAATAATCTTTTCCGATAAAACCGGGACGTTTTCTCCAAAATCGGGCTTCATGCGGGCAAAGTTTCGGCTCGAAAACTATATTTCTAGGGATCTTCGGGGCTTCGGGACTTGCTTCAGGTCTCGGGATGATACCGGGGCTCCGGGGGTACTTCTTTGCACGTAAATCGAGGTAATATGGGTGAGTGAATGGTGAATTAGCAACCTTGGCCAACTGCCCCTTCAAATCTATTTATAGGGCTGATTTCTCGATTTTCACGTCGTGAACAGTATTTTCACGTCGTGGGCTTGATCGTCACTGCATGCGTCATCGCAACTTGCGTCTGTCAGGCTCCAAAAGTCATAAATACTGAGTTCACGTCGTGAACACTGTATTCACGTCGTGAACTCTGACACAGTATCGGGGTTCGCGCCCCGAACTTCAAAAATTCATATCTTTTTTATACGAGCTCCGTTTTCGACGTTCTTTATATCCACGCATAGGTGAGATTATGCTCTACAACTCTTGTTTAGACTACGTCGGCTAATTTTGACTTTATTTTTATTATATTATTTTTAGTAGGCCGGGACAGGAAAACTCCGTTAGAAAATCATAACTCCTTCGTCTGACGTCCGTTTTCGTCTGTCTTTTCACTATTGGACTACTATCGACGAGATCTTCAATTCTCGTTTAGATTGTTTCGGCTAAATATCGCTCGATCTCATATTCGAACTTCGGGTTGTACACTGCTAAGCCGAAACTTCAAAAAATCATAACTTTTTCATACGAAGTCAGATTTGGGCGTTCTTTTGATGCACGCTCTCGGTTTAACGTATTCTACGACTTTCGTTTAGATCGCTAAATCCAAATATCGCTCTGTCATAAATTCACTATTTACGTCGCGCTGTGTCGTGCCGGTTCTGTCGCGAAACTTCGACACGTCATAACTTCTTCGTTATGACTCGGATTTCGGCGTTCTTTATATGTACGGAATCCTTGTAACATACACTATAACATAGTTAATATTACTCCTTCTAAATAATCTTCCATCAAAAAGTCATTTTTGATGCTTATCGTCTCTAAATTGACTAGCCCGGATCTACGAGTGTTACATTGTGCGGAGTGCACGCATGTATAAGATCGAATTAGAAGCTGGTTCGATGACTAGTCGGGGGTCCGGGGGCATCGCCCCCGGGTCCGTGGTTTCCAAAGGGGCAGCGCCCCTTTGGCGGGGTCTAGGGGCAGCGCCCCTAGCGGGGTCCAAGGGGCAGAGCCCCTGGCTGGGGTCCCTAAATCCTCGTTAGTTTTGGTAACCCTAAATCCTCATTAAATCCGGATTTACATTACTTGCTTCCAAAGCAACTAATGACGGCCCAACCTAATGAAACCCTAATATCGTTTATTATATAAACGACTCTTCTTTTTAGAAGAGGGTTACGATCTTAAGCTCTCGTTTTTCATCACACTTTCACAGAATCCTCTAGCATTTTGGCTTACGATTTCTGTGCCTAGAATCGTAAGTGTCCACTCGGATTATCCTATGCTGAATTTCTTGTAACCCAGACATAGGGTAGAAATATCAGTTCGGAAAGTGATATCACGATCCAAGTCGGTATCCAGATCTCCACCACAAACTCTAATATTCCCTACAGGGTTTTGGGTTTGGGTATGGTTTGGTTGATGGGACAATCAGAACATTTATATTGAGGAGTACATGGGAACCAAACAAGGCTGCTTCCGGTATCCATGATAAAGGATAGTTTTTGAGAGGGTGACCCGAAACTTAGAAAAACAGAGTATCCACCAAATCCATGAGCAAAAAAAAGAATTTGAGCGACAGAAGCAGAAGCAGAAGAGTTGTGGTTGGGGATTTTCAGGTGGTGGGCTCTGGCTAGAGAAGAAGATACGAGGTAGTTTATGGTCCGCAACCATTGATGTTGGTTGGTTGCAAATTCTGTAGAAGGTACTGCAATGTGTTGTGTGAGGGAAAGTTTGAAGGTGGTCTTTGAAGAAGAAGAAGATGAGGAAAAACTTAGATAGAGGATGGAGATAATAAAAGTGAGAACGGAGAGATGACAAGTAGCCATGGAAATTGGAATTAGTTAAGAAAAGGCGGGCTATGGAGAAGTGTTTGATTCTTGACTTTTTGTGGTGCATACTAATTCTCATTTTTGTGGTGCATAAGTGCATTACTCTTTCTTTTTTTCTTCAATAATAAAGATTATATATTTCAAGAATAAAGATTATATATTTCAAAAAGTCTTGGTCTTAGTATTATGCATGATTTGGTGGCTGGTGCTGACTCACATACCATCTGATTAGTCCTCCTCTTTCCAAAATCATCAGTCTTGTTGTCTTGTTTTATGGATAGGAAAATTTGCCTAGAAGACATTTCGTTTACAAAAAAAAAAAAAAAAAAAAAAAAAAAAAATATCAAGATCATAAAAACACCAAACCATAAACTAAAGTTACAATTCATCCCCAATTATATATAATTCATTTACTATAGTGTAACTATTTTTTCGAAGTCTATGACGTAAGAGTTATCTTATTATAGTTTCGTATTATAGATTAACACCAAATTCATAGCTGGAAAGTAAACGATGCCACGATGGGTCGGGGTAATGTTTTCCTTTTGGATTCTTTAGTTGCATTTCTTCTTCACGAAACCAAACCTTCCATTTTCCAAATCATACTCCACGTATATATCCTGCTGTTGGTAATTTCCTATGATTATCGACGGCCCACTATTCAACTTGATTGGAAGGATCGTCATACACGCCACGCCGGGCTCCACCTGAGAGAAGTAATCGGCCATCGGCAGTGATAATTTGGCTCCGCCTTCAAAATCAAACATTAGCTCGGGAAACACCGGCGGCTTGTCTCCAATGGTGTAACACAACGGTGACTCCTTATCAGTAGTGTTAATTCTTTTATACTTGTACATTTGAACTTCAAACTCTTTTGCTACAAGATCGTAGATAGGATAATCCATGATCGTGAATGTTGTGCCGGAATCGATGATGGTTCCCCCGTTGCCATCAGATCCGGGCACCAATAAACGATCTGGGATATTTACATCTTTGCCACCAATGGTGATTTTCTGGAGGCTTAAGTAGTAGAATCCTTCAAATCTTGACGGATTCTTGAGGAACTTGGTGTAGCTGATCATCATGCCTCCATCTCCGGCGCCGGAACTTGAAGAATCCCGATGGAGAACAAGCTCACTGCTGACAGTCTGATTGTCATCGAACTGATGAGAGACTAAACAATATGAGAACTTTTTAAGACCCATCTGAGCGGGTAAAGAATCGGGTCGACGTCCAAACCCGAGAATACCCTCGGGTAGTCCTGCGGATAAGATTGAGCATCCGACAGCGAAATCAGTGACATCCCCCTCAGGGAAATGCAACGTCTCCGACAGCAGTACTCCGGCTGTTAACCCAGACCCATACACTTGCTCGTAAGAACAAACCTGTTTGGTGGCGTTGCATTGAATTGTCTCAGGTGTCCGAGGAACCCACCCACATTTGGTGTTATTACAACCGAGAATTTTAACAGAGGATGAATGTTTGGGCATGAATACGGGGATTTTGGAGGAGGAGGAGGAGGGACAATCATAACATGTATAACGATCAGTACATGGAAACCAAACAAGGCTGCTTCCGGTATCCATGAGAAAGGATAGTTTTTGAGAGGGTGACCCGAAACTC